TAATAGTAATTTTTGATTGCATTCATTACTATTAGTTAGGGGGAGTTTATGTTTCTTGATGAAAAATTAACTTTATGTTCAAATATTGATTAAAGATTAATTTAATTGTTTGAACATAATTATTTTTCAATATATGAGTTATCTATACCACTAGAGAAGATTAATTTAGCATTTTGTGTGCTTAAAAATTGGATTTTAGCATTTTGGTGCAGAGGGAATCGATCCCCCCCATGAGGGAACCGATTCCCCCTTTGAAGGGGAACCGATTCCCCCCACAGGGGAATCGATACCCCCCTGGGGTTCTGTTAAAATCGGATAGAACACCCTAAAACCCCAAAACCTATTCTGCTATTTCTCACCCTCAAACACTCAAATCTCCATTCTTGCCTCAAATCATTGATTTGAATCGGAATTCACTTCAAATATCATCTCCTAAACTTGCAATCATCATTAAAATCGTGCAAACAACATCTAAATCCCCTCAATCTTCATCTTTCAAGGTAAATTTTTCTAAACTCTCTATTTCATTGATTTTGAACATAGGATTAGTTTTAATTAGTTCTAGGTTGAAATAGTGATCGGGCATTGATTGTTTAGTGATTAGAAACTAGATGTTACAACTAATTTCATCAAAAACACAAGAATTTTCCAAAAATTTTAAATTTTCGAAATTAAAAAAAAAATTGTTGTTTTTCAAATTATTGTGTTTTGATTAGATTTTGTTGTTGTTATGAAAACTATACATATATTGTTTCTCAAAACCATATTTTTCAAAAGTTTTTCAAAAACTTTGCCCATTAGGATTGATTTAGAGAACCTTGAAATATTGAGGACTCAATTGAGTTTTGGGATTAATTGAATTGCATACATTTGTTTTTAAAATTGCAGGTTATCCAATCTATTCCTATTTCCTTCACCATATCTAATCCTAAACGTGCTAGGTCTTCATCTAGTCGTCAACCAAATCCTCCTCCTATTCCTCAAAATCCTATTCCAAATCTTGATCCTAACTTGACTATCCAAAATTCTTGTTTCAATCAACCGGGTCCTAAAGATTATCGTTATTGGTTTTACCAATATTTTGACTCATATAAGATTAGGGAAGAACGTATCCCATCTCTTCAAGCTATGGTTGCTATTAACTTTAAATATCTCCCTATCTTGCACGAATGGAAATTTGATAAACTTTTCGAACTTGAACCCGTTGTCTATCATCAACTTGTTCGTATCTTTTACTGTAATGTCGTTTGTATCAAAAATCGTGACAAAACCAAAACCATAGGAGTACGTTCCTACCTCCTAGGTCAATATTTCCATCTTGATCCGGATATGTGATTAAATGTTTTACTTTGAACTCCAAATTTATTGTTTTAACATTTTGAATATTTTGGAATGTTTGAATTAGTGGATTGTGAATTTGTTTGGATTTATGGATGGTGTGAACTTATATGTTTGGTGTGATTTATTCATTATTGCATCATTTATCATTATTAGCAATATGACCAATTTTACCATATCACATTATTTATGAATATTGATTATGGAACTAATGGCTAACGTTTCTCTTGATTGTGATCTTAGCAGCTTATGCATACATATACCTAATCAATTGGCTAAATGTTTTCACGTTTCTTTGAATCTTTTTGATTTAACAAAAAGGGGGGAGAAGTGTGTTGTGTGTTTTAAGTGTGTTTTAAAAATGATAAATGGGAGAAGTGTTAAAGTAAGGGGGAGTAATTTCAAAACTTGATTTCAAAATCTTAAAATTACTAAAATGTTTTGTTATATCAAAAAGGGGGAGATTGTTGAGAACATTTTGATATTTCGATATAACAAATTAAGTTAAATGAATTTTAAGATTTTCCAAAATGATTTTCTAAGTATATTCGATATAATTATTCGAATATCAAAACATTACTCCAAATATTTCAAAAATCATTTTTAATCCTTACTTAAGTGTAAAATTAACTTTTAATCTTAAAACAATTTCAAAATAATCTTTCAAAGTATTTCGAACCATTTCAAAGCCAAAAATTCCAGATTGCTTAGAGGGAACCAATTGCCCCCCAAGGGGGTACCGATCCCCCCCTGAATGGTTTGGCTCCGAGATTTCCAGAATGCTCGGAGGGAACCGATTCCTCCATAGGGGGTACCGATTCCCCCCTGTTCAACGGTCGAAATATTTGAATTTTACACTTAGGGAACCGATCCCCTATGAGGGGGAACCGATTCCCCCCACGCTCCAAGCATTTTTATTAAATGTTTTCACACTTAAACGGCTATATCATCTTCATTAATTATCCCCAACGTTCAGAAGTGATTCAAGGTGTATTTAAACAAGTTCTGAAGCCCTTGATCAATAAGAAATTATAGAGAAACAAGAGAGAAAGCATCAAACACCAAGTTTGTGCAAATCAAGCCAATCTTCCTTTCAATATTCATTTTGCTTTCAAGAACACCATTTGTGCTCATTTGTAATTATCTTTGAGTGTTCTTTTCTTGTTCTAGAATTGTGCAAACATCTTACCTTGTGAGGTTTTCCTTGTAAGTTTGCAAATTTGTAATCTTCTCTTTGAGAAAGAGTGTTCTCAAGAATTGGGGTATATTCTTTAGGGTGTTGTAAGGTTATCTCTTTGGCCTCAAAAGAAAGAACAAATTAGTGAATTTGTTAGGAAATCCTTAGTGTGGATAGCTAAGGTAGTGGACGTAGACTTTGATTGAGAAAGTCGAACCACTCTAAATCGCTGTGCAATTACTTTCAATTTTCTGTAAAAGCTTCCACCAAATTTTTAATTGCCAATTCACCCCCTCTTGGCAAAATCCGTCAATTGATTAACTCAACACACATCAACATCACTTTTAAGTTTTTAACAGTTGGATACCAAATTGAAACCTAAACTAAATGCTAGGTATAATTTTGAAAGAAAATAAAGTTTGGGTATCCAAACGGAACAAAAACAATAGTTTAGGTACTAAATGTATAGTTTACCCTTTAATATATATATGCACAATATATTTGCTTAATATATAAAAATATTATAAATGAATAGATAAAAAGGATCAACACTGTAAAAAAATAGTGATAAAAATTTCATAAAATAAATATTATAATGAGATTCTTACGTTGTCTAAGAATAGAAAATAAAAAAAGGTTTTGTAGAACTTATATATTTAAAAAATTTGACATTATTAAAAATATAAAATTATTGATTCAAAGTAATTTTTATGAATTAAATATAAGAATATACGATTATCATGAAAACAAGAAATGACTTGAACCAAACATCTTTCAATAATAATAACAAATTTTGCATTGAAATATTAACACAAGTGATTTGTAAACACTTTAAAAGAAACCAATTTTAAGCTCAACAATGACTTTACACTAATTAACATGCAACCAACTTTAATTGGACACACCCAATTATAATAATAGAAAAGGATGGGTTTAGTTAATAGGCATAGTTGGAGAGTTATAGTCATATGAAATTTAGTAATAATTACTTAGCTTTTTGGTAAGGCAACTCCCCATTTTTGAATTGGCTTTTCAACTTTATTTCCAATTTGTTTTTAACCATTACATTTAACTTACCAAATTTTGCCAACTCGCGTGTATAAATTTACAGCTCAATTGTAACACCTTATCTTCCTATATTACCCAACCTAATGTTTGATGCCAACACCTATTCAAGTCAAAAGCTGTTTATTAAATATTTTAAAAGATGATTTAATTCAAATTTCACATTTAATCAAATAAAATCATACTTATTGTCTTAAAATTTTGGTATTTAATATATCTTACTTTATTTACTTTTCTGTTGAAGTTTATTTTAATTTATAACTTCTTTCTTTTCTGTAAAATATGAAAAAAATTGTTTTAAAAAATTATAAATGCTATAGAAATATTTTTACAGCTCACTATATTAGGCACTTAGTTATTATTTTCAATGGTTTAAATAAAAAATAACCATTATTTTAATATAAAGCATTATTATAAATAATAATTTAATTAACATGTAGTCCTAATCAAAGTTATTTTTGTATAAGTTTCAATATGCTTAATTTTTAATAAAATTAGCACTTAATTAATATAATTATTTGTGTAATTATTATTATTATTAAATATCATATTAATAGATTAAATGAAAATAAAAGTGTTATGTTATACGTTTTTAAAATTAAATATATTAAATTTTAAGAGATAATTTCAATAATAAAAGATAATATGTTTCTTAAGTTATATAGTTAAAGTAATATCGTCACTAAGATATGTCTGAATTTTATCCAAACTTAAAATAGAATTATATTTTTATGGTTTATAGATAATCTAGTACACATTTTTTTAAGAGTTCGAGATGATTATAAGATATATATATTTAGAATTTTCGTAATTAATTGACAATAAACACTCTATGCAAAAGTAATTGCTAGAGTCTATAACCTTTTAAAAAATATTTTCTTTTACATCTTAGATCACATTTAAATAATTTAATACTAATATGATATTAACCTCGTACTTTATTTTATTTTTACTTGTCCATGGAAAAAAAAGGTACTCTATTTTGAATTGCCGTTAACGCCACATTATTCTTGTCATCTCCATTCTCCCTCGCTAGTTAAAATTCCATCACTGCCCTCCCGTTACCTTTATTTTGAAATTTCATAACCCAAACAAAATTCAGTGTTCCAGAAATCACGAAGAAAACCCCTCGTCGTTTTCTCTGCAACTCTTCCCGTTAAATCCAAGATTTTGGAACCTTTTCTTAATTAACCCCACTAGAAAAGTTTTCGATCCACGTGTCAGTCTCCTATTCGTCATTTTTACCATTGATTCTATGACGTTAGTGATACGGCGGGTTTTCCCTATATCGCCATTCGGATTCTCATCAACCGTGAAAAGTTTAAAAAACAGCAAAGAACTTAAAAGCAATAGCATAAAATAAAAATGACGTGTCCTTCTTTTTTAAATAATAATTTATTATTCATATTAAATTCTCATCTTCTCCTCTATTATATTTCTGTCTGTGCTATCTCTCTTCACATCCTTCATTTCTCTCTCTTTTAGGTTTCGTTTCTTTTACTTCAAAATCAAAGAACTCAAAGCTTCTCCGGTACGATCTTTCATATGTTTTCATTTTTTATTCTTCGCTCTTTAGCGGTGCCGTTTGTTTTTTGCGATTTGTGGTTCTTTCGATCTTCGTTTTTATTTGAATATGTATTTTGTTAATGTTTATTAGTTCCTCCTGTTTGGTTCTTTAAAAATGTGATGAAAAGAAGAGAACTTTTTTTAAAATGTTTATTAGTCTCTCGTTTTCATTTGAATATGAATTTTGTTAATGTTTTTTTTGAATTTATCAGAAATTGTAAACGGTTTTGTGAGAGTGTAAAAATTGAGATTCGGATACATTTTATTAGCTGAAAAACAAGGTATCAACAGAATAAATTAATTCAGCCTACTGCTTTTGGGCGTGCTTGCTTGAGGTTCTTGTAAATAATATCCAGATTTCTTTAAGGAAATATTAATCTGTGACTAATGGCACTTATTAAGGGGATATACTTTAATTTTTGCGCAACTAAGTAAAAGTAATGTGTTTAATGGATTTTTTTACCAAAATGATAAATAAATGATCCTGGTGTCTATAGGTAGCGGTTAAGCGGATCCTTTGTTTAATTATTTTTTCTTGCTCATTTTGGTGCAAGATGACATTGAGGAAACTGGATATCAAGATTTAGGACTGTTACAATTTATTTATGAAAATAATTTAGAAAAAACTGAGATTTTTTGTTGTTGCTGCAGAGTTTTTGGAGATAGTAGGAACGTGATGACAATGCAAACACTGATAAAAGACGAAAAAACTAACTAGTTTTAGGTGTTTATTGATATTTTGAAAGGGGATTGTCTGCTACATAGCATTTTATCCTACACAAGTTCAGTTTTTCAGGCATTTGAAGCAGATGGGTTGAAAGGGTTTGATAATATAGGTTTTGGAGCAATATGGCTATTGCTGGTCTACACAATATTTCTGTGCTTGGAAATTCCTTCCTAAGGGAGTCTCAATCTCAAACGTCAAGAAGTTGGGGAAATGGTAGCACCCGAGCATCCTCACTCCTGCAGATGTGGCGGGAGCATGAAGATGAGCATGTGGTGAGTCATGCTCAAGAGAGGGCTAGTGAAAGAATTCTCCAACCAAGGAGTGATGACCTCTTAGTGGCTGATCTTTCTGATATTCGACACAGTGAACATAGTGGTGTTTTAGATGATGTGAGTGTGAGTGAGAATGAGTTTGGACAATGGTTGCCAGATCAATTTAGGTTGCAGAATGGGAATGGGGATTCAAATAATCTTAATTTTGAACATTTGTCTGATTTGGGGGAGGTTGAAAGGGAAAGGGTAAGGCAAATTTTTCGGGAGTGGATGAACAGTGGTGGCAGGGACCATACATCTAATGTTTCCCGTAGAAACAACAGTTCGAGAGCTCAGTGGCTTGGAGAAACTGAGCAAGTGAGGGTCAGAATTATAAGGGAGTGGATGCAAATGAACAGTCAGCAGAGAGGTGCTTGTATTGATAGTAGAGAAGAGCAAGCTGCTGATGTTGGTGGTCAAATTGAACGAGTTCTGGATGGATTGGTGGTTAACCAGAATGAAGGCTGGACCGAGCATGTGCGAAGGGGAATTCGTAAATTATGTGGCCGACAAGTCCTGCTTGATATGCTTAAAAATGCTGAAAGAGAAAGGCAAACTGAGCTCCAGGGCTTGTTGGAGCATCGGGCTGTATCAAATTTTGCCCATCGCAACCGCATTCAGGTAGATGCATATAAAGTGTAGCTATTTTTAGGAGGCTATTGTCTTTATTCGTTCAAATGTTGTCCATGTTCTTCCAATTTTGCCAGTAAAGGCACCTTCCTCCCTCCCATATTTAAGGTAGATGCTGATTTGGTAGTTTCGGTGTTATAGATTCACATAATGGAGCTGCGTCTTGCATGTTTTTGAGGGCTATACTCTATAGGGAAAAGTCATTCTTTTAAGCATAGTATTTTCTCTAACTAAATGTTTAATTATTGATTTATTCTTCCCTGTTAAAACTCTCAAAAGTAACTTCATTACATATACGACATTCATACAAAAAGAGGAAGTCCCTATATCATGCTAACCAGTGTAGGTATTAAATGCAAGAAAGAATACTAATTTTGAATCAAGAGCTAAATTAAGATCATGTGTCATGTAGGGAATGCTAGCATATCTGTCTCAACAGTTTTCCCTTTTTAAGTCTTCCTATTTGACTGATGCTTACCATTGGTAGCTTGCTGCTTGTTCTGAAAATTAAATGCTCTGCAGATAATAGTTTATAACACTAAAAAGCAATTAGGCTACGTATTACATTGATTATTGTCTGCTAAAATACTTGCATAAATCTCAACAATGTTTATGGATCATCTATAAATGTCGTTTTTTGAACTTTGAAGGAAACTGTAGTGCTTTGCTTGCGATGGTAGCTATAAATTAAGTGATTTAATGAGTCCTAACACTAATTGTTAACCTTTTGAGTTTCTTACCTTCTTCATTTTGGCAATAAACCAAACATGGATTGCTTTTACTGCCACTTATCTTTTTTTTTATGCAGTCATGCTGAGGGGTAGATTCCTGAGAAATGGCAGAATGGGTGAAGGTAACAGATCTACCTCTGTTGCAGCCAGCGAATTAGGCTTATTGAGACAAAAACAGACCGTATCTGGTCTAAGGTACTTTATTCTTTATTTCTTATAAACAGCAGAGCTTTTTATTCAGCTAAGTTTATCTGATGCTGTATTCTGAGACAATTCCACTCTTTTTGTTTTCTGTTAACATCTTTCATAGACTTTATTTTAGCAGAATTTCAAGAAATCAAAACTTTTATTGTTTCGTAAATTGTGCTCAGTTTGTCTAGCAAAGCAGTATCTCTAATTTCCCTCTGATGCTTATTCACCTCTTCATCGTAAAATCAAAGCTGCATTCACAAGAATGAATTTGAAACTAGGGGTTTGGATCTCAAATTTGGACTGGGAGTTTTCACTAAAACTTAAAATAGTATACCTCCATCTGGTTCAAATAATTCATCAAGATTCTTGCTATAAAGAATTTGGTAACATTAAAGTTGTGGAAACTAGTAATACTCTTGGTGATGTATTGAGCAATGTGATGATGTGGTTGAGACTGTAAATGCTGGTACTTTGCACATATCTTGAGTTAATTATTCAATTTCTCACATAAAGACCTGATGAACTTAGCATGTTAAGATATGATGCATTGGTGTGGCTCCTTGATTGTGACTTGGAGTTCAGGTTTTCTACTTTCAATTCATAAAAACAGCGTTTTGCGGAGCAGGGTAAAGCCTCCTGCATCTCCCCTCCCCATACCTTGCGTATTACTGTGCATTGTGTACCAGGCTTCCTTTCTCAAGCACAACATTGGTATAAGCAAAACAGCTACTTGAAGTTGCAATTATTTGGTAGTGCATATATATTTCAGTGATCATGTCTAAATTTGCAGTACCAGCTTGTTGTGGTCCTATGTTTTTATCTGTGGTATCTACTTAAGTTTGAAATCTTTCCTTCTTTTCCTCATAGCGGGTAGTTGGTTGGCTGGTCTAAACTTAGGACCTTTATGAAATAGCTTGATTATACTTGCTTTGAGACACTTTTTGGATGCTTTGCTGGTAGAAGTTGCAATGTTGAATTGAAAGAATGTCATAACATTTATCCGTTATATTTACGTGATACCTTTTTTAACCATTCAATTGTAATATTTTGCAACCCTTGCTTTTGTTTCAGGGAAGGGTTTTTCTCCAGACTGGATAATTCTGGTTCTGGTCCTGCGAGCAGTAATCAATCTGATACATCATCTAGTGCTGATTCCAATGCTGATAGAAATGAGCAAAACCAACTAAGTAACTCACTGGAAATCACAGATGGAGCAATTGAAAACCCTGAACATGAGAATGACCAAACAAATAAACAAAGGTTGCTGGGTGGTAGAACTGATTTAGGGGATGATGCTGTTGAAGATATAAATTGGCAGGAATCCTCTGCTCGGGTAGAAGAGTGGCGGGAACGAGTTTCTGCAAGTGTTGCTAGAGACTGGCAGTGGTCTTTCAGTGATGAGTCCAATGAGAATAGAGATGCTAGTGGAGAAATCTTGGATGGGGACTGGCAAGGAAATCTTGCTAATGAGTCGTCTCTTGAAACTTCGCCGAATGAAGCTGTAGAACATACTAATCTACAAGAAGCTTGTTCAACTTCTTATGAACTTTCTTCCGAAAATGGTGGAAGAAATGAGACCTATGGGTTAATGAATGACTTACAAAATTTGCAAAGGAATCCAGTAGCACAGATTGATGGGCAAGAATCTGCTTCTCAAGTGGAACAATGGCAAGAGGAGGATCAGGAAACTGTGGAAGCTGACTGGCAGGAAGCTAGCGTTGAGTATAATGAATTCATGGATGGTAATGAAGAAGCCTCTGACATGCACCATGAGGATGGAGGCTTCCACGAATCTACACGGGATTGGTTGGAGGGATCTTACAATCTAGAACCTGTTACCATTGGGAGAACTGATACATTTTATTTTCCTGATGCTGATAATGTACACAGTACGGAGCTGAGGGAACTGTTGAGCAGGTATGGATTTTATTAACTGTTGGGCTCTTGTGATTAAATTTTTCTAACCATTTTACTTTCAATACTGTAGGAGAAGTGTGTCTAATCTTCTTCGTAGTGGTTTCCGTGAGAATCTTGATCAGTTGATACAATCTTATGTGGAAAGGCAAAATCATGCTTCTGTTGATTGGGAGCTGAATGGAACATCTCCTCCTGCGTCTGTTGAGCAAGATATGGAGCAGCAAAGCGGGGATCAGAATGATAGCCATGGGGATGCTGAGACTACTCCACCTGCTCTTCCTTCACCCAGGATGCCACCTATGCAACAACTCTGGGACCAGGATTCACACCATTATAATTGGGCACCACATGATGCCCATCAACGCTTCAGTATTGTATGTCATTTCTTATTTGCAAATTTATTCTGTTATAGATTATTTCCTGAAAAGTTGATTTATCTATTATCTTAGTGTTTTAGATGCTTCTGACCAAAATCCATTTTTTTTTCTGAAAGAGAATTGTTCGTTTTTCTATTAAAATATTTAATATATAATTGTTATTTGATACGTCAAAGATAATGATCAAGTATTAGCCTGAGTGAAACCTATATCAAGCTTCTCCAAGCTAACGGAATTGTTGAATTCAGTATACACTCTATGCAGAAAAGTTGAACTACAATGCACTTCCTCTTACTTTTGGATAGCTAAAGTGCAAAATTTTTCCTGCTATCTTCGAATAGGGTAACTACATGAATATAACATCTAGCTAAAAGTTGGGGGAGTGGGGATTATTTAATGAGCTTTATCAGCAGTTAATTAAATGCCAGCTTATAGTATCTCACAAATTATTGGGGGAGCGGGAATAATTTAAGTGCTTGAATCTGTTCAACTACACTTCATTTGGTCTCCATTTTGATTGTGCTGCTAATTTGGTGCAGGAGTGGGAGATCGTTAATGATTTGAGTATAGACATGGCTACGCTGCAGCAAAGGATGAATAATATGCAGAGGATGCTGGAGGCCTGCATGGATATGCAACTCGAGTTACAGCGGTCAATAAGACAAGAAGTTTCTGCTGCCCTTAACCGTTCTTCTGGTTCACAAGGTATTTTCTTTTCCTTCCGTATCAGGTCACCTAGTTGTATTTCCTTGGGGGTTACCGCGGGAAAGTGCATATTCCTAAAGAGACACCACTTGTGTTATTCCCATTTGTCATTTAAGAAATTGAAGTGCATATTTTTTTTAGTAACGAAATATAATTTTCTTTTGCTGGATTTGTTCGAGTCTTGTTTGTTACTCATCGTGATGTTCTGTTACAGGGATGATCAATGACAACTTACCCAAAGACGTGTCTAACTGGGACAATGTCAGGAAAGGAATTTGTTGTATATGTTGCGAAGGCAATATTGATTCCTTACTGTACAGGTAAATCTTCAAAATTGATCCTCAAGTTAGGCCGTTTATTTTTTTTTGTTTTCCTCATCCCCATGTCATATTGTTACAGATGTGGGCACATGTGCACATGCTCAAAATGTGCTAATGAGCTGGTTCATGGTGAAGGGAAATGTCCAATGTGTCGGGCACCGGTTGTCGAGGTCATCCGTGCTTACTCGATCCTTTAAGATCAAAAGTATTTATATATCTAATAAAAAGAAAAAAAAATAGAAAAACCATAGAAAATTTTCATCAGTTTTTTTTTTTACTCTGGATCACTCCAGGTATCTTATTTTCCTTTTTCTCTCATTTCCTTATTTCCGCGTTTCTTGGGTCCCTTCCCCAGCCATGATTTGATGAGTACATAAATTGAGGGCATGGTTGAAACTGAAAATCCATATTGTTGAATTCATATATATTACTAATTCGAGTGTAAAATCATTAATTATAATTTATACAATGATTGTTGAACTGTGTTGTACTTATTTTTGGATGTTTTAGTCCATCTTCATGGTTTTGTTTTGTGAATAAAGATTAGTTCCGTTGTGCAAGTGCATCTGATTTTATTGATGACATTGTCATTGTAATATGCTAGTTAATATTACAGCCTCCTGATTGCTGTTGACATATAATAGTAAAGTTTTCTATAATGTGGTCATAATTTGCGATTTTAGATTCATAATAGGAATCGTATTGGGGGGATTGCACGTTAAGGATTAATTATTGGACTTGGTCCAAATTACCACTCAAAACTTAGTCTGGTTCTACTCCGATTTTGACGTGTTGCACTAAACCCCCAATCAGGACCTACCGGTTTCAACGTCTACTTGTTTTTTTCGAAAGTACATATATGTATGATTTATTATAATTATAAAATTACATTTTTATATCGTTTATATCAGTTGACAGGTTTCTTTTGTTTTAGCTTTGAAGTTTCAAGGAGCTAAGTTAATTAAGAATAATAGAAGTAGATAAGTACACAGATTTTGCTTTCTTTTAATTTTAACATGATCTTCTAAGACTTTACTTGATAAGGACGAAATAAAATTAAATGGGTAGAAGGATAGATTTTTTTTCATGGGTGTGTTTAAGAATGGACATATGATTTGATGAATTTTGATTTAATTTAACTTTATAAAATTAATTTTTTAAAGAAAAAGAAAAGAAAAGAATTTGAATAAATCTTTTGAAGAATAAAATCGAGTTTGATCTCTTATTCAAAATAAAAATATAATTGACCTTTATATATTTTTTAATTAGAGTTTTATTTTATCTAATAAAAATAAGAATTATATATATATATATATATATATATATTTGTATCATGTTAGATATAAATTTTTATTTTAAAAAATAATCAAATTTTAGATTAAATAAAGTTTTATTTTAAATTAAATTAGACAAGAGGACTAGGGAAGAGATATTACATTTGAATAAAATTTAAATTTTTTAAATAGTTAGAAATTTAACCCAAACCAATTCAAAACTATCATCCCAAACATCTTTACTTCCTTAACTAAGGGTAGTTTCGCGACTTAAATCTTAAATTTAAGGCAGTTTCCTTAAACATCTTTACCCAACTCCACAATAAAATAAATTTTCTTTCACTTTTCCTTTCTCATTCTTCCAACTTTCTACTCTATCAATCAGAGTCAAACTGCCAAATCGCTTTCCCCACTTCATTGCGTGGCTAAAGAAAAACAACAAATAATAATAAATAATAACAATCACAAAGCCCAAAGATTTAGCTCTACACTAGTGTAAGTAATTAAAAAACGATTTATGTACTAATTTTATTAAGAGAAAATAATCTCAGGGATCAAAAATGCCTTATAATATATGATTTTAACCAACTTTTTTTAGATTTTCCAAAATGACCAACAAATTCGCAACGCGATCTCAAATTTCGTAACCCAATTTCCAATTTCGTAACGCGAATATGTAAATCGCATTGCGAAAGTCAAATTCGCGCGAATTTATAAATCACAACACATAAGTCAAATTCACAACGCGAAGTCAAATGTGAAACACAATATTAATTTCGCAACACAAATGTAAACAATATTATCGTAAATCATCTCTAACCTAAAACCCTAAAGCACAACTCAGTCCCATCTCCATCTCTCACTCTCTACGGCGACATCTGTCCCCATCTCCGACGAAATCCGTCCCCATTTTCGACGAAATCCGTCTATCTCCATCTCTCAGAGCAACCCTCTAACCATTCACGGTCAGAAATGGAAAATCAACTACCGAGGGTTAGTTTTTTAATTATTTTTATTTTGAAATTTTTGTATTATTATTAGATTAACCATTTCACTGAGATTGCTAAATCATTCGGTTGCTGCCAATACTGCTAAACTATTTAGTCTTTAACCCTGTGAAGTTAGTATTTGTCTTTGTTTTGTCTTTTTATTTTGTCTTTTTGTTGAAGAAACCCTAAATCACAACACCAAATTCGCAACGCGAAACTAAAATCGCGTTGCGAATTTAAGTTTCAGAAACTTCTTTTATTCTGCAAATTGAAACTTGAATGAATTGCATTTCTTCAACCAAAAAACAAAGACAAATACTAACTTCACAGTGTTGCTCATTTAAGTTTCAAGAATAAACTACTACTCTTTATGTTGTCCTTGAACCTGCACTAAACCTATATGTTGTCCTTTTAAATGTTTATATAAGTACTTACTTCTGGAATGTTATCTGATGCATTTTTGAACTATAATGAAATAATGACTTGGGTGAATACTGTGCTAGTTTGAAACATATTTGGCCTTGTTTTTACTGTTTAATATCATGCCTGTTTATAGTGTATAATTTGTAGTTTTTGGTATATCTAACTTGGTATGTTTATTGTTTTTGTAGAAATTTTTTTCGGCTGCATTGACCTTAAGGAATAAATTAAGCCTAGCCACTAAAATTGCGTCGACGCTTACACCTCTACAAAGAAAATTGTTTGAGGATACTTGCTTCGGGCCATGGCTGAAAGTGCAACATATGGTGGAGATGCTATGTTGACACATTTGTTTCTTCAGACTATGACTAACGATCTACCCGAGGGGGTACAACGTGGTGATGAGGAGATATGGTTTCATTTTCCTCCGGCACCGGCGCATACTTGTTTTGGGCGGGAGGAGTTTTGCTTAATCATCGGTCTACGCTTCGGACATGATGATGTAGGTCGGTACACTAGTCATATCGCCCGCCCATCATGGTTTTATCGGGTTTTTCCTGAGCTGGCAAAGTCGAAGCCGAGTATACACGTCGACGACTTGAAGAGATTATTTGATAAAGATGGTTTTACTCGGATGGATGACCTTGATGTTGTCCGAGTATGCCATTTATTACTTTTGCATGCCATATTTTTAGGCAAAGAGGGCAGACAACCAATATTCAAGGACCTAATATTATTGGTAGAGGACCTAAATGCATGGAACCTGTTTCTGTGGGGTTCATATATGGAAAGCTACCTGGAAGAAGTTGTCGTCTGCCTTTGAGGACCAAAAAAGTTTGCGGGGTGATGGTTCTAAATACATTTTGAGAGGCTTTACTTGGGCCTTTAAGGTAAGAATTTCTATATAATATTTCCAAAATTATAATTAATTATTTAACAATTACTAATGTTTATGTATTATATTGTTTTGTAGATTTAGATATTTGAGGCTTTCCCCAGCATGCGGACATATGCGATAAAAAGATCAAATGATATTCCTAGGGCTATTACCTGGAAGAGGATCCGTATGTTGGATTGGGAAGATTTACTCCCATATACGACGATGAATGATGTAAGTTAACACATAAATAATAAATGATATATATAAACAAGTTATTACTAGTACAAGTTTAACTTTCTTTGAGCTTTTATATTGTTAGTAGGCCAACTATCCATTACAGAGGCTGAGCTTGGCACTGATTGGTGGCAAGCTAGTAAGCGGTTTTTTGATGGGACGGATGATAAGCACCCCCCACTTCGAGAGCCATCACCTGATTGGGCCGATTCTACAGCTCGACACCCGGAGCCATCACCTGATCGAGCCTCTTCTCCACCTCCACCATTACCTATTCCATCACATCATCGAGCCTCTTCTCCACCATCACCTCATGCTAGGCGACCAACAAAGAGGCCACGATATTTATCTCCTGTTCTCCACTTCTTCGAGATGAGTTAGGGGAATTACGTGATGAGGTCGGTGCTTTGCGTCATGAGGTCGGTACTTTACGTGAAGATAATGGTGCATGGCGTGATGAGGTCCGATCTTTACGTGGTGAGGTGGATTTTTTATGCGATGACAACGGTGCACTACGTGGTGAGGTATCTACTTTATGTGATGAGGTTGCCGCTCTACGCGAGATTGTTTCATCGTTGTAAAATGAGGTTCATACTCTACGCAATGAGGTAAATTTGTTTAATACTATACTAAAAATGCAAATAACCTTTTTTTGGCATTATTTATTTACTGATTTATGTATTAATTTATTTTCAGAGGCCGATAAGGTAGATGTTTTACGTCAGGTTTTTCTTGCACGGCGGGGTTCACACATCAGACGTCGTGCACGTGCCATTACGTCTCTGTTCACCCCACTAGCGCCAAGACTCCGTAAGAAGAAACCCGATGCACCTATCATCATTCAAGAGGCGCCTCCTATCGTTCAAGAGGCCCCTCTCATCATCGAAGAAGCCCCTCCCACCGTTCAAGAGGCCCCTGTCATCGTTCAAGAGGTCCCGCCCGCCGTTCAAGAGCCCGATTCATATGGCGTCATATGTCGACATATTGATAAACCCCCTCGCGTGCTCAATATAATGGATGCGAGTTGGCTTTCGTATGTGTTACCGGCCAGTACCATTCCTCAGCAGGAGAGAGAAACACTACCGTACACAATTACGGATAATACTCTTTGGGCTAAGACCGCAGTTGATTTTTATCTACATGTGCGAGCAAGGGGTGTTATTCTGACCTATGCCAAATCGACGATGCTATTCATTTGTTTCTTGATTGGTCTTGGTGGGGTGTTTTATTAGGGGTTGAAGATAATGGCTATCTCGAAGGGGTGGTAAGTCTTATATTCTTATTATATTGCATTTTGATTATTTTTTTTAAATTATTAATAAATTCACTAATATATTTATTTTTTTTATAAAATAACATATTGATGCATGGGTGTCACGTCTTTTAATAATAAGGAAATTGAAGAAAAGAGGTACTCGATGGACTATTATGCTGACGTCTTTTCACGCAGCTCACTTGAAGGATCAAAGAGATGCTTCATATAAGTTGGCTAATGGAAAAGTTAAACTTTATCCTGCGTGGTGGGAGGTTGATAAGGTTAATA